AGCAATAAATGCTAAGGCCGAAGGAGTTCTACCAAGGAAAAGTGGACCAAAGGAGGAGAGAGAAAATGGCAGCCATGGCTGCTAGGAGATCCGGCCAAGAGAGGTGGGGAAGATGACCAAAATCTGATTTTTCACTTTAGGGCATCCTATTTATAGTAAGTCTCAAAAACTGCCCCGAAAGGGCCCCGCTGGGTTTGGAAAAGTGGATTTTGAGCAAACACGCTCAAACGGCAAAACTCCGTGAACAAAAAAGATTCAAAATAATAAAATATGAACAACGGAAGAAACGACATTAAAAACTGAGTCCCGAGCAGAAAGTTATGCCCCGAACAAGTTCGGCGGCAACCGGATCCAGAAACTCTAAAACTGGAGAAAAATGACCAGAACAGAATTCTAAGAGTCCATGACTTGATAAAATGTGAAAATGAATCCTGTACGAGGATCCAGGCTCCAGACGAGACATTTTGCAATAACTTTCGTTAATTGCACAATGATCCCTACAAAAAGGGTTAATTGCGAAACTGCCCCAGAATGAAAATATCTTCCAAAAGATATTTTCTTAGATACCCCTGAAATAAAATATCTTCAAAAGATATTTACGAAAAACACCCCAAGAAACGAAAAAGATTCTAAAGAATTGTGCATCCATGCCCCTGTGAGCACCGGGAGCAATCAGAGTACTTTCTTGCAAAAGTAAAGATACGTATTTCGAGAAAACCAATCAAGATGAAGGCACGTGAAGTCAAAAACCAACTTCGAGCATGAGAAGTGAGATTATGCCAACAATGTGACAAATGGGGAAAAGACAGAATAGGGAAAAGGATGAAACAACGCATAGTATCTAAAAACGAAAAATGTGAAAATGACTCGGTCCTCAAAGGAAGTTGTCAATCCACGGAAAAGAGTCTCAGGAACCAATTCTGAGCACTCGAGATGACACTAAGCGACACGAAACAGAGTTCAGAAAAGAAAATTAAACGAAAAAAATTCATTCATAAAATTTCAGGAAAAAGAAAATGAAGGCAAATGACTGGGTCGTTACAAGATGGATTCCCGAGTTGTTTAACTTATGGAGTTGTTTAACTTATGGAGGTTTTGGGTTGGTTTTGGAGTATTGGGATTTAAGTATATTTAATTTCAAAGGATTTTTAAATTCATTTTAGTTTCTTCCAGCTCTTATGTTTTATTTTTAAATTCATTTTGAAATCTGTGTTCGTTATAATATATTAATTGTTCGATATCCCTCAGGTTTGGGCCTGGGCCTGATCAACCCGTGTCCCGGATCTGAGGGGTATCACAGTGCCTTTGGGGGTTGTGATAACGACTCCGGCCCCGGCACTAATCAGGTTCGAGGAACCATCCACCCGAAGCTCCCATTATAGCTCGGAAGGGCCTGGCTCTTCGGGCTTATCCTCATACTCTAAGAGGAAATCAGCTAGTACTTGTCCTTTATGTGACACATTCGGTTCATAGGATATATCAAAGGAACTGAGTTCGATTGCCTATTTACTTATTCTTTGGATAAATCTGGCTTAGAAAGAATGATTCGCATGGGGTAGTTGGTAAGAACTTTGATGTTGTGCGACTCAAAGTAGTGTCGAAGTTTTCTCTTTGCATACACCAATGCTAGTATGATCTTCTCTGCTTTGCTGTCTCATGTTTCTACATCTGTTATTGTCTTGCTGGTGTAGAAGATTGGATACTGATTCTTACCTTCTTCTCTAATCAATACTGCACTCGTGGCTATGCTGGAGATGGCTAAGTACATGATAAGAGTTTCACCAGGCTTCGGAGCTGACAAAATCTAGGGTTCAGCCATGTAGTACTTCAGTTGATTGAGAGTAGTGATGAGCACTGAAAAGTGCGTATTTAAACCCCTTAAGCTTAGGTATTCTAGAACCTTTATCTATCTTATTTTCCCACTTTAGATTGATTTTGTATTATTTCCATTTTCAGGTACTTATCCCCAAAATAAGCTAACTCAGCCAAATAAGAGCATAATTGAAGCAATTCTGGGATGAATCAAAGAAAGGAGCAAAGTAGAGCAAAAGGAAGCAAATGGTGGAATTTCAGCAACTTCGATCGATCTCAAGAAAAGTTCGATCGATCCAACTTCCAACGATTTCAGCATTTCAAGATAGATCCAGGCCATGATGTCATCTGCAGAGATCCCAAAAGTTCGATCGATCTAACATCATTCTCTGATTGATCGAACTTTTTTGTCATTATCCAAATGATTGATCTTATCCAGTTGTACCACCCTACCAACCACTTTTGTCCTTTTCCCAAAAATATCTTCAAAATATCTCAGATTTGTTTTTATCCAAAAAGGCGCCGCCATTGAGGATCGATCCAACTTTAATTCGATAGATCTCAGCCATGTTCGATCGATCTCACCTCAAGTTCGATTAATCGAACCTCCCAAATCCCGAGAAAAATCCAAATTCCAGCTCATTAAAAGTTGTCTCATATCCAATCATTAGAGGATTATTGGTGTACGAGCCCAGCTCATTTGGGGTGATTTTTGACCTACCTATATAAGGAATATGAGCCACTTTTTGAGGATATACTTTCATATACTTTGACACACATACCTAGAGAAGATAATACTTAGAAAGAAAGCAAAGGAGAGGAGGAAGCTAGAGACACCATTGGAGACTCTTCATCAACCAAGAAGCAGATTTCTTCCATGGAGCTTGCCCATGAGGGTTGGAGGACATCATCCATGAGTGGCTAGACATCCTCTTGGGGCTAGAGTTAGCCCTAGGCATGCTTTCTACTTCTTGATTTATGTATTTTTGAGGGGATTTGTATTGTGATTCATGTCTTGACACTTTTATATATATAGATCTTGTTTATTCAATTATTTATGTGGTTTAATGCTTCCAATTGATCATTTCATTCTATCCATATGTATATGTATGCTAGAATAAATGTTCATGTGTTTGTCTTTATTTCTTGTGTTATTGATGCATGTCTATGTGTATTGATGCTATAGATCTAGAGATTGTTAAGATATAGTGCTTAGTGGCGTGTTCTTGTGGTTTATTTGATGGTTCGTACTCATTTCTTGATGGATTGTACATCTCCCTTAGTTTAATTAGTTTAATTTCATGTCACTAGCTTAGTTGTAGTGTAGTTGTTAAATGGGAGGACAATCCATGCTTGTTGTTGATGTTCTATACTTATGAAAGCAAGTAACATATATCTCTAACCTTGTGATGTGTTTGGATTGTGAGCTTAAAGAAAGGATTAATGGCTTAATTTGATATGTTGTGCTATCCACCATGTTGTTTAGACAATATATGCTTAATTTGTCATCCATGCTTATTGAAATAACCACACACACACTATTTGTTGCAATACATATCTTTTCCCTCATTAATCATTCATTAAAGGTGTAGAAAAGTTATGCTTAGTGGTGATCTCTAAACCCCAAGATCTCTCTCTTTTTTATTCTCTCTATTGCATTATTGTTTACTTTAGTTTAATTTGCATCTAGTGTAATCCAATCAACCAACCACTATTTTGATCACTCGACCTACTAACCCTAATGTTGATTCCTCAACCTAGTACGACACTTCAATCCCTTGGGACGATCCCTACTTGCCCTAGCTATATTTTTAGTGAAAGATAGTAGTAGTAATTTCTAAATGTAAAACTTGGCCTCATTGCATAAACTTTGGGTTTGAATTGACTACACACCAAATAGCCTGCTGTTAAGGTCCCCATCTGTCTTTGTTTTTGGACCTTATTGCATCAAAGAATCGTTTGCACTTATCTGATAATCAAGAGATAAATCGACTGAGAGCTGCAATTCAACTGGTCAAAACCTATACTTCCCTACGGGTTTTTGGTTCTTGATTTTGTATAAGGGCTTGAGCCTGAGTCGGACTCACCTCAATTCCCCTTTTATTTACAATATGGCCGAGGAACTGTCCTGAAGAAACCGTAAAGGAACACTTCGAGGGGTTTAGCTTCATGCCATACTTTCTCAAAGTGTCAAAGACCTCTTGGAGGTGCTTAGGATGTTCTTCCTTCTTCACACTTTTGACCACCATGTTGTTGATATAGGCCTCGATCGTCTTTCCCAACATCTCGTCGAAGATTTTGTTAACAAGGCACTGGTAAGTTACCCGAGCATTCTTAAGTCCGAAGGGCATGACTCTGTAACAGTAGGTGCCTTTCTCTGTTATGAAAACAATCTTCTCTTCATCCTCTAGATTCATAGGGATTTGGTTATAGCCGGAGTATATATCAAGAAATATGAGCATCTCAAAACTAATAGTGGCATCAACCATTTGATCAATTTTGGGTAATGGAAAGCTGTCCTTAAGGCAGGCTTTGTTGAGATTGGTAAAATCTATGCACACCCTCTATTTTCCATTCTTCTTCTGAACTACCACCATATTGGAGGGCCATTGTGGGTATTGCACATCTCAGATGAAGCCCGCTTGGAGCAATTTGCTTACCTCTTCAGCTTTAATTCGGTTGCACTCTGGAGCAAACCTTCTCTGCTTCTGCTTGACTGGTTTGAACGCCGGATCCACCTTCAGGATATGGCATGAGACTGAAGGATTGATTCCCACCATGTTTGAATGCTCCCAAGCAAATGCATCTGTGTTCCGTTGAATGACATCAATTAATGCTTTCTTTTCTTCAGTTGTGGGGGAAGAACCTATGTAGGTGACTTTCTGAGGATCGTCGAGGATTACTTCGACAGCCTCCAGAGATTCCTCAGTAGGCTTTTTAGCTTTAGCCTCACCCTTTACTTTTAAATACCTGGGCAAAGGGTTCTGTAATTGGTATTTGGACATGCTCCCAGGAGATGCGATTGGTTGGGACTGTTTTGTTATCTTATTTGCTTCATTTTGGGTCAACATGTAGCATTCTTTGGCAGCGACTTGATCTCCTCTAAGATCAATAACTTCTTTACCGTCCGGAGACAAGCATCGCATCACCTGATGAAGGGTAGATGGAACCCCGTTCATTCGGTGGATCTAGCCTCTTCCCATAATAAGATTATAAGAAGGGTGGATCTCCGTGTGAACAAAGTTCTCCTTCAGTGTCCTCTTTGCCGCGGTCACGGATAGGTCAATTACCTCAAGAGGGTCTACCTTTGTGCCATCAAACCCTATCAAGGGGCTAGAGGTGGGCCGAATTGATGATGACGGAATCTCTAGTTGCTCAAAGACCGCATTTGTGATGATGTTAACGCTGTTACCCGGGTCTATCAAAACCCTCTTAATCATGCAATTCGCCACCAAGAGATTGATGACCAACGGATCCTCGTGGGGGAGTTGAACTCTGGATAAATCTCCATCGCCGAACCCAATGTGGATGCTTCCTAAAGCGATAGCGTTCACCGAGGATAACCTCCTTAGCTTATGGGTTGTTCTCAATTGGGACCTATACACCTCCTCTGACTCTTGATCATCCTCCGATCTTCCATGTATTGTATGGATGATCGTCACTTGATTACCTTCGACTTTTCGAGGATTGACCTCCTGAGGCTTCACGTACTCCTTTGTTGTGAGGTAGTCTGCCAATTCACCTCTCAGTATCATGTTTTCCACCTGCCACCTAAGGGATCTGCAATCATTAGTTGTATACTCGTAATCTCTATAGTAGGCGCGATGCTTGTTCTTATTTCTCTGTTCCAAAGGTTACCTTATTGGCTGCGGGGCTGCAAACTTCATCTTATTCTCCTGGAATAACCGAGCCAAGGTTGTGTGAAGTGGTGTGAACCTTTCTTCTGTCCTTTGCCTTTTCTCGGGTATTTGAATGGCTGGTGCCGAAGCGTGCTGGCTTTTTTGGCTTTTTGAGTTTAAAACCCTTTCTTGAGGCTTGTTCTCCACTGTGACGAGGGTGGCATGTTGCGCTCAGTGGGCCACATTCTCCTCAAGTCGGATGTAGATCTGTGCCCTAGCATTGAGAGTCTACATATCCGGAGGGGAATATTTAACTAAGGATGTATGGAACTTGGTTCCCTGAATCATTGCAAGTTTAAACGATCTATTACGGTAGCAGGATGGCAATCTACTATTTCCAAAGCCTCCATGTTAAATCTGGATAAAAAAATCTTGTAATGTTTCACCTTTCGTTTGCCTTTTAGCGAAAAGGCTAGCAATACTCTTCTTTTGCTTCTTATTACCGCAATACTGCTCCAGGAACATAGTGCACAGAGTTTCGTAGTCTGGAATAGATTTGTGTGGCCTATTCCTGAACCACTCCAGTGCAGCCCCTGTTAGACTGGTAGGGAAAACTTTGCACATTCATGGGTCATTGTGATCGTCCAGAGCTATCTTTTGTGCATAGTAATCTAGGTGCTGAGAAAGATCTCCCGTACCATCAAACTAGGTAAAAGAAGGCATAGTGAATTTCTTAGGTCTGTTAACAAGGTACATATTGTCAGTGAATGGAGTCTTCACGAGAGAATTCTTATATTGCCTGGCCATCTCGGCAGGCGTTTGAACTCTCAGGAGTCTCTTCTCGTCAAAGGCCTCCTTTACTCCTGCACCATCTAGAACACCATTAGACCATACCGTAAGCTTACAGCTGGACTCGGCCTGTTTGTCCAGTGTGCGATGAGGAAGATTGTCCGAAGCCACCACCTCGGACCTTGTCCTCTGCTTTTACTGAACTTCGTTGGGCCGAACTTCATTAAGCCGAACCCCATTGACCTGAGGCTCGTTTTGGTTGGGAGGAGGCGCAGCCACGTCAACTGGTGGTGGCTGAGGTGTCAACTGAGCCATAGCTGTTTGAAGGGTGTCATTTTGTTGTTGAAACAATGTAATCTGGGTTACGCTGAACTTATTCGCCTGCCGAAGTGCTTCGAATTAGTGTAAGAACTCTTCTCGCATCTTTCGCATTAACTCCATCTATTGATCAGATGCCGTTGATTCTCCGTTCGACATTCCAGATCGTGGAAACAAAAACAATTTGAAACAAAAATGGGAGTATCTTTCTATACGATTCCCAAAGACGGCGCCAAAGTGTAGGTGCAAAATTTCTCTCTATTAAAATAAATAAAAAGAAAAATACAACTCACTCAGAACAAGCAAATATAATACTCAGAATAAGTGTGTAATGCTCGATAATTTTATTGGAGGTCTAGGCCTCTATTTATAAGAAATAAGGTGGTGGAATTATGGTAGGACTCGTCTGGCTTGTCCTCCTATCCATTCCATATAAGACATTCTTTACAATTATAATTTTTTCCTTTGTACAATTCTTTCCATGCAAAACTTTCCTTGCAAAGAACTTGCTTTTTTTGCTGAGTCCTTTACCTAGCAGGACTGGTCTACAATTAACTGAGTATGGGCTGTGTGTGGGCTGATCAAATCATTCGATAGATGAGCTTGGAGTTCAACCTTGGCTCTACGAGCTGTTGACGCTTCCACTGGGCCTGAATGAGATTGTACACATTTGGGCTTGGTAAATGGGCTGTGTAGCCTGGATCAGCCGTCCACATAAAAGCAAGACTTTGACTTGCCTATTCCAAATTGGGTTCTCCCAATTTGGGCTTGATACCGCTCAGGCCTTTGCCGTATCTAATTATAAATTGGTAGTGTGATGACGTGGATGATTCTTACTGGAGGGGAGGATTTTTTCCCTCCACAGTTTGGTTTATTCGTTTTGCCACCCTGTTTTGCTATGTGCTTTTCTACACAATCCTCTCTAATTTGATCTCATACTTATAATAAAATTCTTGAACTCAGTGTCCACGTATTCACTGCTGTCCTTATTCTCCACCATGAACTTCTGCTTCTTGAACACCTTATACACTTATGATTTCTATCTTAGGAAGCAAATCCATACCTTCCTTGTATGATCATTAATGAAAGTCACAAAATAGGAATTTTCTCTGATGGATGATAAATCTCTTTACCCAAATATCTTTATTTACAAATTTTACAACCCCCTAGCCTTTTAGAAATCTCTACAAACTTTCTAATATTCTACGATTCTCCCGACTTGAAGGCTCAACTCGGACTCAACTTGAGGTATAAATCTTTAACTAACCCCAACTAGATTTTTAACTCAAGTTAATCACCCGATCTCGTCCTGTTATGAAATCTTTGAGCCCAGATATGTAAATCAGGCTAGGAAATCAGGTTGTAATGTAAGAGTAAGAGGCAAAATAGAGATTAGGGGTGGCAAAATTGATATGACATATCAATACGACTCGAACACCACACGGAGTTAGCGATTTTGGGTTGATTTTATTCATGTTCATGTCCTAATCGTGTCAACCTATTTCATTAATTGTGATGTGTTCGTGTTTTGGAGCTCAAATTACTTAACCCGATTATAGATGTTTAATTAATTCTCATAATCGTGTTAGTTCAATCCAATTAACCTATAACTTGTTCTAACCCATTTGCTATGGACATTGCTATTATTTTAATATAAATCCAATATTGATATTGTATTTGGCTTTTTTTAAATTGCATTGTCACAATTATTCTTATTTTTACGAATTTAGCATCCATTATCTATTTTTTTTATATTTACATTTTATATTTAAGTTAATAAACAAATTATATGAATCATTTAAGTTAAACGTGTTAAATAGGTCTCGTGTTACCCGTTGTGTTCATGTTGAGGGTCCCAATACGATTATTAAATGCATTGTATTTGGGTTAACCTGTTTAGTAGAGTACTCATATGTCAACACAATATGATTATAGCTCGATAATACAAAATGCTACCTTATTGGAGATATACCACAGTGACCAGAATTTCGTTGGAAGCCATGTGACGGCCCTAGTTTTTCAAGCCAGTGCGTCTTGTGATGACCCAAAAGTTTACCCGATAACGGATCTTGAATGTGGAAGCGAAAACATAAACAAGGCCTCTAGGGATATACATTATCCCTAAGACGCTAAAGTGACCTTCCATGAAGTCATAGAAGTTAGGGTTAAAAATAGACCAAGTATGGCCCTAAGGGCAAAATGGTCTTTTCACCCATAAAACAAAGTCTCTAGAGATGCACGTCATCTCTAAGACGCCAACATAACTTCCCACGAAGTTATGGAACTCAGAAGATAACAAGATGCGAAAGTGACATTTTAAAAACGGACAAATATAACCCTAGGGGTAAAATGGTCATTTAAAAATAAAAGTGGGTGCTACCGAGTATACCATTGGATAGATAACGAAAAATCAACGAAGTTAGACTTAATACCATTGGACGCAGGAGTTTTGGTCAAATGAAAACAAGGCATCAAGGCTGCCAAGAAGGGCACCATGGGCGCTCGTGGGCGCGCGTCGCGTGCGCGTTGTGCACGCGGCCAGCACCCTGACAAGCCATAGGGCTTGCACCAGATTTTCCTGATTAAAATGTGATTTTTAGGGCTTAAATGACATTTTTTGGAAAAAAAAATTGTGAAGTGATGTGATGACCCTGTGGGCGGGTGTGCCGTGGGCGGGTGCGAGAGACACTGTCAGGCTACCACACTGGCGAGCTACGGGTGCACAGTCCCACATCGCCTGGGTAGAGGAAAGGTGAAGTACTTATATGTAAGTGTGTCACCTCCAATTGGTATGAGGCCTTTTGGGGTGAAGCCCAAGAGCAAAACCGTGCGGGCTCAGGCCCAAAGCGGACAATATCATACCATGTGGTGGAGTGGGTTGTTACAAATGGTATCAGAGCCTGACCCAGCCGGAAGTGTGGCCAACGAGGACGTTGGGCCCCAAAGGGGGGGTGATTGTGATGACCCTGTGGGCGGGTGTGCCGTGGGCGGGTGCGAGAGACACTGTCAGGCTACCACACTGGCGAGCTACGGGTGCACAGTCCCACATCGCCTGGGTAGAGGAAAGGTGAAGTACTTATATGTAAGTGTGTCACCTCCAATTGGTATGAGGCCTTTTGGGGTGAAGCCCAAGAGCAAAACCGTGCGGGCTCAGGCCCAAAGCGGACAATATCATACCATGTGGTGGAGTGGGTTGTTACAAGTGACCCCCCCAAAATCATATTTTCTGAGTGACTATGTCAAGAGAAATTCTTATTTTTCAAGTGAAATTTCCAAAATGCCCTTAAGACCAGATTTGCAAAAGAAATGAAAATGAAAGCTACTCCAAGTGTTCATTTCACCAAAAAGGGTGTTGTGTACAATTGTGAATATGCACGCAAATGTGATATACATTTTAGGACGTGCTACAATGGCCCGTGGCTTCAAAATAAGCCTAATGCAAAATATGACATACTAAACCTCAAATATCCACAAAATTGTTTAATAAGCAAAACATGAAACCAAAAGATTATAAGTGTAAATAAAAGACGTTTTGGCCCTTGGCCACATGTCATAGTTATAAAAAGGGTCACGAAGAGTGTGCTTATGCACACTTTACATATTTCGAATTAAAATCAACATGTTAAAATCTCTAAGTTCATAATATTGCTTTTAAAGGTAAATTACAACACCAAAGTACATAAGCGTAAACGAAATGGTGTTTGGCCCTTGGCTACACTTCATACATATTAAATAAGTCTCAAAGAATGTACCTAAGTATACTTTACATATTACAAGGTAAAAACAACACATTAAACCAAAAGAAGCATTACGGCTTCAAAGGCAAAAAGTAAACATGCTAATACTTGCATATACTTAAAATTACTCAAAAACACATTAATGGAACCAAGCCACTCTAGGGATATTGTGCATCCCAATACAAGTTCTCCTTACCTGAAAAATGTCCAAAATAACTAGGGTGAGTAAATAAGTTACTCGTAGGAAGAAGTGCATGTGTATACCCTAAAGTTTCAAATGTCATGCAAATTCAATATAAATCATCACAAGGGATTATTCCTCCTAACGTCTATGTTGTAAAGTGAACTAAGGGATCATTTCAAGCTGTTCTAAGCAATTGAAATGAAATACGCAACATATATGTATACTAGGCATAAGTATACTAAACAACTCCAAAAGTTATTCTTGCCCCCGTCACAGAGCCAGTCTACCCACGGTTGGTACGGTTGTTCTACCAGAACCTCCGACCATCCCCGTGTACCACAGCAGAGCTGGTCACTTCTGTAGATGGCCATCCGATAACCATCACAATGGACTCACTAGCCCACTCTTGCGACTACCCACACCGCTGCCCTCCAGAGCTACATGAGTTATATCCGAGGCTATACAGGCCTTCATATGCCTACATGGCAGTTTTTCTTACAGGTCACCATGCCGGTGGTGAGACCTTCGCCACCCAGACATTCCTTCCAGACGACCTTTGGTTCACCGATTTTGTTCTCTTTCGGAACATATACATGGCCGGACACAAGATTCAGCGGAGGGGGGATTATCTGACAGCCATCTACGCCTTCTACACCGGGCACTGGGTATCCATTCCCACGCTCTTTTCTGGAGTGTGATGAGGAAGCTTTATGACGAGTACATCAGTAAGGAGACGCCCGAACGGGTTAAGTCTCTTCCATTCAGCCACCTCATCACCTAGATTTTGATAGATTAGCGCTACCCTATTCACCATCGGGAGCACCCCGAGAGAGGTTCATGTCATTTTCTGAAGAAGGACTGGAACAAGAGCTACCGCTCCATTATTACCATACTATAGGACCACGCGGTAGTGGCTGCAGCGGAGCTAAAGGAAGAGGAGGCACAGGCAGAGGCACAGGCAGTAGTAGAGGCAGCGGCAGCAGATCCCGCAGCGGACGACGCACCAGTCGATCTAGCTGCCGATCATATAAATATTGACTTAGAGCACCTTACAGATGATACAGAGCAGTACTCTC